TTGCGGTACGCGGGCCTCTCACTGTTGTGGCCTCTCCCGTTGCGGAGCACAGGCTCCGGACACGCAGGCTCAGCGGCCATGGCTCACAGGCCTAGCTGCTCCGCGGCATGTGGGATCTTCCCGGACTGGGGCACGAACCCGCATCCCCTGCATCGGCAGGCGGACTCTCAACCACTGCGCCACCAGGGAAGCCCAAGAAGGCCTCTTCTTAAGGCACCACCCCCACTAACCCTTCACCACTTCCTCTTGGTGGGGGCCCAGGATGGGGAGGAGGTCAGCACTTATTCTTTTTGTATATCTTTCATTCCTTTTTTACTCATCTGTAGCGGTCATATAAAGCACATCGTTAAAAAAATTTTTTTTTAAGTTACAAAAGTAATATGTATTCAGTGTTGGAAAAAAGTAAATCAAATAAGAGTAAAAATGTAATTATATGTGAAAGAGCTCACCACTCATAGCATTTAGATACATATCTTTTCAAGACCTTTTTTTCCATTCATAGGTCTTTTTTTCCCTTTCATTTAAAATATTTTCATTTAATTCATTCAGTCTCTTGCTATTTACTGTATTCTAAGTATTGGGGATACAGCAGGAAACAAAACAGCTGACACTGTTGGGAAAAAGACACAATAAATAAGCTAATTTTAGGTGTGATTGAGAACGACAGAAGTGCCTACTTTAGAAAAGCTGCTGAGAAAAGGCCTCTGACAGATGGCATTTGAGCCGAGTCCCGGATGACAAGAATGAGATGGCTGTGGGTGGTCTGGGGACAGAGTGTGCCAAGCAGGGAAAACCAGGGCAAAGCCTCAGAGACAGGAACACACTTGATGTGGGAGTAGAAGATAGGGAGGGCCAGAGGCCTGTGGCCTGTGAGCAAGGGGTAGGCAGAGGTCAGAGAGGTAGGCAGGGGCCACGCTGAGGAGTTTGGAATTTATTCCACGAGCATCAGGAAGCCTTTGGGGAGGTGTTAAGCAGAGCAGCCACACATAAAAAAAAGTTTTCTGTGTCACTAAATACCCATCTGAGGGCTTCCCTGGTAGTGCAGTGGTTAAGAATCCGCCTGCC